AGAAAAAAATAGAGAAATTGCAACTACTAGCCATCCGGATTCCTGTCAGTTTGACTTGGGTTGCATCTACAGATTCTTTATACGGTAAATTTGGTCTAATCCTGACTCTGTGTACTACGGATTTTTGTCCATTCCGTCTATAAATTTTAGTCCCATGCAGTACCTTAATAAATTCATCAGAAAAAAATCTATGTTGTCCGAATAAATATATTTCTACTGACTTATTTAACATTAGGATGTGTTTATTGTGTACACCAAGATAGCTGTCTTAATTTAGATGAGTGTAACAATAAGATAAATATATTTCTGTTGACATTTTTAACATTAGGATGTGTTTATTGTCGACACCAAGAAAGCTGTCTTAGACTGGATTGGATTGGAAACCTCTGTTGCTGAGAGAAAGAATGCAATGATTTATGCCCATTTAAGCAGAACTACTTAAGTTTATGATCAATATGGACAAATGACACATCTTGATTTAAACTTAATTATCCCAAACAATCTTTTATTAATTAATGTTATGGTGTATTTTATCCAAAGTTGTAAGTATTTCCTTAAAGGAAAACTAGATCTCATATTTGTTATGATGATGATCATTACCATGAAAGTTCATTCATAAGATTTTGAGGATTAATAAAGTTACACTATGTCTGAATTTTCAGAAATATCTTCAGAAAACTGACCATCCACTTCTGAGTGTCTCCTGTCTGTTTGAAGGAAAACATGACAGACAGATCAGGATGGCTCTCAGCGTCTAGTTACCCGAGGACAAAGGTCGAGGCTTATCTAATCCATAAATATTTGACACCGAGAAATGACAGTTTTTGAGTTAAAAAAAACTTTTAATATGTTGTTTTGATATAATATATAATCGTACTTTAAATGTTTTGATGTAGGTTTTAGCAATACATAATTTTCTATCCAATGACATGGATTTCTTATCCGAAGATAAAGCTATAATCGAGATTTAGCAATATGTATAGTTTTCTTATATATGGATTTATGTTCGGGGGAAAATTACCACCGATTTTTGGAAAAACTCATCTTATTTTCTTTTTATCACTTATCTTTTTTTTCACTTTACGAGGGCTCTCCGTAAAGTTCATAGACAGGCTGAAAATTAAATAAAAGTTGCGCCATTGATCTCCGTATTTGTAATCCTCTACTAAATATGAATAAAAAATGTAAAATTTTATTCAATTTCAAATATTTAGTTACAATTTTGGCGTTAGAATTAGACTTGGAATGGAGACCCGGAGCACCGCGAAATTTTAATTAAAAAATTATTTATCTCCTTATAAAATTCATTCGTATTTTACAAAATTCTGCAGATATCTGAACGAGCTTTACATTATAAGATAGACAAAAGTAATCACCACAAACCTGCAAAATTTAAAAGTTCAAAGTTGTAAAATGGCTGAGCAATCAGAGTTAGAACATATTAGAGAAACACCGACATCTTACGAACGAACGTAACTCTCCCTAACTTCCCGTATCTCGATAGTTTTCTCGGGACCAGCAATTGTACCCAGATAAAGTTTAAAATCGGAAGAAATAAGTATATGTGTAAAATAGAACGGAAAGTTTTTTAACCACTTGTATTTGAGAATTATTCATGTCAACATTTTTGTAATCACTTACAATGTTTTTAAAAAATGAACAAATAGAAGAAAATACACCGTAATACTTTAGACGGATTAGGAAACACGTTTGTCATGCGTCAGTGATTAAACGTATATACAAACTACTTGTAGTGGCCGCCTATGGGAAAAGGTTACTTTTTACAGTTAGCTTGAAAAAAATAATAAATCCGTGCAATCAAGTAAATAGGTAGTGCGCTTTATAGTGTCTTGTATTGAGAGAGAGAGAGAGAGAGAGAGAGAGAGAGATTCTTTTTTAAATTTATCAAAATATCACTTCAAAGAAATAAACGAACATTCATGGTAGACAATATCTTCTTAGATGATGTATTAAATGGCGATCTTAACTAAATTATCTTGGGCTGCTTTTATCTTAAATATTTGTAACAGGCCTGAAGCATGCAATTTCAGTTTTGGGGGGGGGGGGGGGGGGAGGCACAACCAAACATTTTAAGTTTAGAGTCACTACCAAACAATTCCTTGGGAAGCCAAAATGAAAGATTTTTTATTGAGGGGGCGTAAAGACAAATAATGACACCCATCGAATAATGACCGGGGGGTCATTTTTCAACGACAAAAAATGATTCCCACCCGTAGAAAAAAATCTTTTTTTTTGTAGAAAAAGTGTCCTAGGGGTCATTATTTTATATGTTAATCCTATAAAAAATTGACCGCCATTGAAAAATGACCCCCTTTGAAAAATGACCCCCTTTAAAGTGATATAAAATTTAAAGCAGGTGAAACTTATTTTTACATTTTCTGTAACCAGAAAAATACAAAAATTCGTATGAAATAATTAACAGATTTACGTAGTCTTTCAAGGCTAAAAATGTGTTTGAAAAGAGATTTTTTAATTGTTAAGTAAATAAAATTTCTTGTTAATATTCCTCCTTGTAAGGTTTGCTAGAAGAATTATATTAAACTTGTTTTTAGAAATCAAACCATGCAACAATCAGGTTTAAAAACTCTTTAAAAGGAAAAATTAATTTTTCCTTCATTTCAGCTTTTAGCTTGTATAAGTTTGGCAAATCCTATTTGATAATAAAAAAAAGAAGATTACGTTAAATCAAAACAAAACAAAAAAAAAATAAATAAATAGAAAGGAAAATGATAAATAAAACTCTATACCTTTCAATCACTGCTTGAAAAAACACCTTTACAAAACTTTACTTGCAAAGTAAATTTCATTAAAGGTGCTCCAAAAAGCAAGGTCAACTTTGTATTAACTTTACAAAAAGTAAAGGTGAAAAGGTAACCTTTACTTACAAGAAAAGATAATTAAATATAACCTTTCACCTTTAATTCCATATTAAAGTTCATTAAATATACATATTTTATAAAAGTCTTATTTAAATGTTGACTATTGTTTAATACACTTATACTTTGGATTTTCACAGTTAGTTTAAAGAATGTAATCTAGTCAGTACCCAGAATTTTAAGACAAATGCCAAAGATATTTTTTTTTATTATCTTGTATTCATTTCCAGTTGAAATTAGTATTAGAAATGGTCATCTACAGAATTAAACACTCGACTCATCATTATTTGACAGACTACACCTCAAATAATACAACAACTATGTTGTAAGCCAGGTTAGCTTTGTTGGAGCAGCTGGCGTTTATTTTGATACATATCTAACATACATTACATTGAATGTGAAACAATAAAGCACTGGAATGCATTAGTAAAATATTTTACCTCTAATAAATTATACCCCTATCACAGACATTAAAAACCGCCCAGGCAAAAACCATAGATGGTTAACTATGGAAAACCTGTGTCCGTCGCTATGTAAATAATGTCTCAAGGGAGAATGCCAGACGTGCATTCAGTGCAATAGTTAAAAATGCACGAACACCCTATAATATTTGCATGTATGAAAAAATCCAAATTAAAATACCGGGTACATTTCAACAGTTTTGTTATTTCCATTACCAGTATATTTATACAAATATGATATATATATATTATATATAAAGAAAAAAAATGTGTGTGTATTGAAGAGCACTGGCTTAGAATGATTTGAACACTTTACTGAGTACTCATTTCTCATTGGCCTTCCTTTGGCCACGCCCACATATATACAACCAAAAACCATTAATATACGTTCCTCTCATACAATGTGTTCCCGCTCTACTACGAAACACGGGAAAAAAATATTATCTGCACCAGGATTGCCTACAACTCTCTGGATTGGATAGCATAGATTTTTCATATGTACATTGATATTAATGATATATTAATTAATAATATATCAATAGGAAATATTGGCATATTGATAATTGTCATTTTCCAAACAAATATGATCTAAAATATTCTGTATTTTGGCTTCTCATCATATGATGAGTCATATATACAGCACAAACAATATCCAGTTATAACCTTGAATATAAACATTATATTGAGCTATCTTTGACTTTTGTTTTCCTTTACACATTCAGATACATGTGAGACAAAATAAAAAAAATACAGATGATAAGTATAAATTTCACATTTCTGCTTATGAAATGGAGGTCCCATTTCACTTTAAAATATAATACCGGTACAATATTATTTATTCTTTATGGTGCATGTACATATATGAAATAAACTTTGCAGTTTAAATTGAATTAAAAATGTGAAAAAATTACATAAAAGGCTATTTAATTTGCGCTTACATACAGGCTAATAACATCTTCAACTTGTAATGCAAAATGATGCATTTTACATATTCACAAACACAAAAAATGGTGAAAAATCTATTAGAATATATGTGAGGATGCAGTTTGCAAAATGCATGAGATCATGTATGAATCCAGCTTCACCCAGTGAACCTGTCTGTGCTTGACTTAGTTTAGATTATGTTTTTATGTCTGTGGTATATGTTAGTGTGTTTGCATATGTGTCCAGCTTCACAAATTTTCATGTATGTGCTCGACTTCACACGCCTTGGAAAATATGTAATAGGTTGTGGCAGATGCATGTGTATTTGTGTATGTGTCCAGCTTCACACATTTTCATATATGTGCTCGACTTTACACACCTTGGAAAATATGTAATAGGTTGTGGCAGATGCATGTGTATTTGTGTATGTGTCCAGCTTCACACATTTTCATGTATGTGCTCGACTTCACACACCTTGGAAAATATGTAATAGGTTATGGTAGATGCATGTTTGCATGTATCCAGATATGTGTGCTCGATTTACATGTCATCAATGTAAAATATGTAAACATGGTGGTGTAAAACATTCACAAGTGTATGATGCACACAGAGAAAAAAAGTTCTGTGTGTTTTGTTCTGCAAGAGTGATCTAATAAATAAACTACAATTATGTCCTGTTGAGAAATTGACAAACATAATAATTAACATATTCATTTTACATAACTGTACTGAAAATTACACATCCGGTTTAAATTACTGTACTGAAAATTAAATTTGTGCAAAACTCTCTTGCTGAATAACATTCAAAATCATGAATGCTTGCATGTTCATCTATAAATCTCCAAGATATTTCCTAGTTAGTTTGTAGCGCCGCACCGAGCGGTCTTACAACACATTTCATACTGTCAGTTTGCATGAATAAATTAATTTATCCTTGTTCCTCATATCTTGAAAATAGATGCCGAAATTCTAGTCTACAGTTTATTTACACAGCACATCATAAATAGAAACATTCAGGAAAAATAATTCACAAAAAATAAATTCAAGTAAAACAATCATATGTACATATATATCCAAGAATTATTATGTAATAGTCCAAGTAAGTGAGTAACTTTATCTATCTCTAACAGTTCTATCTACTAAGTCTTCTATATTTCCATCTTCCTATCTTATTCTAAAATTCTGTCGCACTATATATATATACTCAAGATCTGTTCCTGACGATCAGGAGTACATTACAAGATCCTTAAGATCAGGAGTCAATACACAGGTCATTACAATCAGCAGGTGGGTTAGATAAGAGGGGGCGATTAATATACAGATAAGATTTATAGCATAAGTGTAGATGATAATGTGTGAACAATTAAGTAATGAAGAGTGATTTACAAATAAAATATTTTAAATCATTACAAGTTTACATATTCTTGATCATATCATTGTTAAGAGTATATATTCTTGATCATGACATCTGTATTGGATTCCCCTCTCTGACATCTTTTCTTGTTCACCAATTAGTTCAACAGTCATCTAGGCACTCAGGTGTTGTAAGTCCTAATAATAATCATTTTCAAAATTATAAAGAAAAACAATACAATTTTTAAAGAGGTTTTCATTACTTCTATTGAAATTAAAGCAGAAGCTTTTCAAGACATAATTAAGTAACTTAAAACATGTATAACTAAACATAATGGAAATTTAGACATTGCGACTCAATGTCAAACATATGATAGTGATACATCTGTAATATCCATGAAACTTACTGAGATACTTAAAATGTTTGTGGCGTGCTTTCACTAAGCTATGCAATATATAAACATTTCTTGATTACATGTTGAAGTCCAAGGCTTAAAAAAAAATAAGTTTGTTTCCTGTAACATTCCCAAAACATCAAGGGTCGGCAGGTCGGATTTTTTTTTTTTTTTTGCTTATGAATGGTGAAACATCCCCAGACTGAAAATACCAGGTGTTATATTTACAGTGGACACCCAACATTACATCAAAAATGGCTGCCTAGCGACAGAAAACAAACTTCAGAAAGTTGTAGGGGGAAACTGTTGTTACAATAATGATTACTCTTTATATTTAAGGTAAATGTAAACTAGGTTGACATATTTTATGTCTCAAATTAAACTACAAGCTATTGTTTTAATTTAATAAATGGAATCAGCTGATTGATCAAACAAAATTTTGCCATTTGTCAGGGAAAAAAAATCCACCCAGGGATAATTTGAATGGGTTGGTCGGGTTACAGGAAACAAACATAATTTTTTTTAGGCCCAATCCTCACCTGACTTGCACATTCATATGGATTGGTTCTATGCTGATAATCCCTTTCAACAATCTTCATCACAACATCTGAAAGTCACCCTTCTTCAAAATTAAATCTGCCGCTCACCTCAAATGTATCTAGACTCCCTGTACAAATGCGTGTAAAATAAAATTTTGAATAAAAAATCATGTAGTGAGTATCCAGCAATGGTGAAAGAAAATTATCTCTAGAATTTTACATTTATATTGAATGAAAAATGCATTGTTCCCTCTACTTAAAAAAACTCAAAAGACATTACCTAAAATGGAAATAAGGTACAACTGTGACTGGTGTCTCAGGCACAACCAATAAACACACGACCTTTCCATCCTTAGCAGCATTCATTAGCTCCACATTCCTTTTTTCTACAAAAAATATACAATGAAAATTTTAAAAAATGAGAGCGAAGAGTGTTACATGTACTTGGGGGAACAGAGGAAGGAATTTTGAAGTCAGATTAACTATATTTCTGCCAGTGTTGGGACGGATAAATTTCCATAATAAAATGAAACAAATTATTCGCAACAAATAAGACATATGTATTACCTTGCAGTCACCATTGCACATAATCATTATGTATAAACATTTCTTGATTACACGTTGAAGTCCAATCCTCACCTGACTTGCACATTCATATGGATTGGTTTTATGCTGATAATCCCTTTCAACAATCTTCATCACAACATCTGAAAGTCACCCTTCTTCAAAATTAAATCTGTCGCTCACCTCAAATGTATATAGACTCCCTGTACAAATGCATGGAAAATAAAATTTTGAATAAAAAATGAATTATCTCTTCACCATACCCGGCCTCTTTAAAAAATGTGAGAAAATGATTTTAATACTTTTCTTTAGAAAAAAATCATGTAGCGAGTATCCAGCAATGGTGAAAAAAATTATCTCTAGAATTTAACATTCATATTGAATGAAAAATGAATTGTTCCCTCTACTTAAAAAACTCAAAAGACATTACCTAAAATGGAAATAAGGTACAACTGTGACTGGTGTCTCAGGCACAACCAATAAACACAAGACCTTCCCATCCTTAGCAGCATGCATTAGCTCCACATTCCTTTTTTCTACAAAAAATATACAATGAATTTTTTTTAAAAATGAGAGCGAAGAGTGTTACATGTACTTGGGGGAACAGAGGAAGGAATTTTGAAGTCAGATTAACTATATTTCTGCCAGTGTTGGGACGGATAAATTTCCATAATAAAATGAAACGAATTATTCGCGACAAATAAGACATATGTATTACCTTGCAGTCACCGTCGCACATAATGTATACATACAACTGACAACATCCCAAATTCCTTTCTTTGTTGTTTACTTGGCGGAATTTTCTTTGCCTTCTAGACTGGTTCCCTGTTCTGGTTCCCATACATTGCCGTGAATAAGTCCTACGTTTATTGGTTTTGTTTACAAGCTTCAATATCTATAAAATCTCCCGCACATTAGGCCTAACAGTCTGTATTGTAAACTACTAAAACATACTTTACACACAATTTTCAGCTCAGTATTATGTTATCCTCTTCATTCAAATAATATGTAAACTCTTCTCGAATGTAAAACGAACGATCTACTCTGATAAGTAACCCAAATATGGCACTATGTATTCGGTTGAATAGCCAATCATTTCAAATCAAGTGGAGCGGGTCTGCATCGCTATTTTGACGAAGTTTGCAACCTGTGGTAATTTTTTGAAACCTCATCTAGATTTAAGGAGATTCTTGTCTTGACAACTGCTCGAACTCCCGGATTGGCATGCACTGCAGGTTTGTTTACGATTTCTAACCGTTTTCACTTTCAGCATAGATCAGTACATTGTGCATAAATGTAGTGAAACAAAACTTCGCTGTATATGTTATTTACTGCCAGAATGTTAGATTAGTATTTTGATAATTTGGGGATTAAATGTTTATGGGTTTCAGTTTTTTTCTGTAAAGGTGTATGTCTCTGGAATATTAATTTAAACAAGACAAAGAAAAACAATTCTGGAGTGGGACTAAAATGAGTAGTTAAAACCGAGCCGGGCCGGGAATTTGAAACTGAAACCGGGTTTTTGCTAATTACTGAGAATATACACAATCAGTTGTCATAAAACTTAGTTACAGATGTATTTATGCCTAGGTTGAGAGTTTCAACTCCGAAATTGACAAATAAGTTTATTTTATTCATAACATTTTGTATTTTAATTGTGTCCATTTTGTTAAAATACAGGTTGAGTGAAATCAGTATGCAGATTGTGAAGGGAAAACATCAAGACGGGGCAAGGAAGATGACAAAACATGATTGAGGATCCCAAAGTTCTTTGGTACAAGCACATTTTTAAAAAATCAAATAATAAGTATCGTGAAATGTTACTTGAACAAACATTTACATTATTAAGTGCTTAACTTACTCGGGAGTCATTATATTGTCAAATGTATTCGTATAAAATGTTTTCTTTTGTATAGGCTCAAGCTACTCAGCCTACCATGAGAAAATTAAAAGATCTGCCATGAAGAAGAGGCGGGTTCTCAAGTTTCATATTATAGATGGCAAGTATTGTTTAGATTTAATTTAAAAGTATTCTTGATAAAGAAAGGGTGTTTGGCTGTTCATGGCTATTAACTGTGATTGCATTGTGTATGAATTTTCAAAATCAATTCATTCTTTGGTGACCGTGTGCTTCAAACTCATAATTTTTGATAAAAATACTGACTATATATTTGTCCAGGTATATAAAATGTTAATCACTGTATGAATTCTATTTTAGCATGATTGTCATCTTCAATTTGAGGGACTCTCACCTAAAGTCCTTTTACCGTACCATATCAGGAAAAAGTTCATGAGCAGAAACACGCTATTTGGGAAAAAGGTACATATATCCTAAACCATAACTTGAGTATGATTCTGTACACATGTACAGCTAAGCTAAACATGTAGCACTATTTTGTTCTTTTTGTAAACTGACTACTGAGTAGTCAGGAAAATCTATCATTTCTTTATGTATCAGGGATTTATTCTTTGATTGTGATAAGTACCCTTAAAAAGTACATAATTCTCTAATTGTAATTTTAGGGATTAGGCTTTTTGTGATAAGGGATACATGACCTAACCCCTTGATTCTTCATATAATATGTCGATAATAAGAGGTCCACTCATCTTATTAAATTAATACAATTTTTATTTTTAAGGTTAAAGGTCATGTATGAACTTTTTATTTATTAATTAGGTTGTGCATTGTTTTTAGTTTTATTAATCATGGTATTGTGAATTCTGATAACAGATGCCTTTGAAAATATTCATACTTATGCATAGCACTGAAAATATACTTATAGATTTTTTTTTTCTTTTAGGAAAAGCATTAGAAGAATTCCTGCATGGAAAGAAAAGTTTTGGACTCTGAAAAGGAAGATGTGACAAATACATTTTGACAGTTATTGATTTCCACTGAAGCCAATATCCACAAGAAAGAGGAACATAGTAGTTTTATGTTGATTCACAACTTTAAATTCAAGAATGTACAGTTGGTTTTATTATAAAACATGTCATGTACGAAAAACATTTTCGTGAAATGTACTCTGTCTTCGATACTTATTTATGTGTATGTGATTTGCAGGATAGGATGTGGGCAACATACATGTATACTGTCAAGAATCTTGATGTTTTTGATCTTATGTTTGTAAAAAAGAAAATAGTAATAAACAAAGTTAAAGTAAACTTTTTGTTACTTTGTATATATTAATTATGATGTCCAGACTTCCGCAGTATAGACTTGGAAGAAAAATCTTATTTATAAATTGCATAAGGCTTTATTCACTAGAATGGAAAACAGAAATTATTAACTTTTGTGGTAATTAAAGATGGTATTTAATTAAATTTAAGATCTGTAATTATCAGATTTAATATATCCTAAATATTGTGTTTAATGGTTGTAAATATTAACTTTACTTTTTTGTAAAGTCAAGACAATGTGGGACATTACATCATATTTAAGTGCATGTAAAGTTAATGTAAAGGTTACCTTTTCCAACTTTGACTTTTTTCAGAAAAGCCAATTAAAGGCATTGTAAATAATAAATTTACATTATCTTTACTTGTTTTGTAAAGCCACATTTTCATGCAGTGAATAATACTAAAAGAGGCTCTAGATAAAATATTGAAATGAAGTTAAGCCTTCACACATGCAAGTACTATCATATCACAATTTACTTTGCCATGATTAAAACATACTTTTTATGTTGTCTGGTGGTATACTTGAAGGTATTTAGGTAAAGTAACAGTTGAAAATTAGTAGAATAGTAAATTATTTTAAGCTTATTTTTAGTCCTTCCTTATAGAAAAATAAAGGTAGGGTGGATTTTTTGTTGTTTTTGTTGATAATCGACTTCCTCCTAAATAAGTAAGGGGATGGGGTGGGTATAACACCTAAAAATATGCTATAAATATGCTATATAAAGCTATTCATTTTCATTTTTGTAACGTTTTCTTTATACAGTATCATAATATGAAAAAACTAATTGAAGACCATTTCTTTTTATGTCCCCGTAATCGAAGATTCGGGGGTATATAAATTTATCGTGACTGTCTGTCTGTCTGTCTGTCTATCTGGCGGTCTGTTTGTTCGCAAAAACTTTAACATTGACCATAACTTTTCATTTATTGGAGCTATGACTTTCATATCTTCTATTTGTATTCCTTGTGATAAGACCGTACTTCGGGTACCACCAAGTTTGTCCTTTTGACCTTTACCTTGGAGTTTAACCCATTTCACACAATATTGCCAATTTTTTAATTTGGCCTTAACTTTTAAACGGTAGATACTTGTACTCTCATACTTCACATATGTATTTTTTGGGCTTTCACTGCATACTAAAAACTTTGACCTTTTGACCTTGACCTTGGAGATTTCCGTAGTTATGAAAAAAATTAACCTTGGCCATAACTTTTGAACGGTAAGGGCTATAAGGTTTTCATACTTCACATATGTAATCCTTGTTACATTAAGCCTTTCTTAAGAAACCATTCACTTTGACCCTCTGACCTTTGAGTTTGACCTACCTTTCAAAAACTTATCCTTAGCCATTACTTTTGAACAGGTGGTGCGATGGCTTTCCTATTTTGCAATTGTATTTCTTGTCAGAAGACCCTACTTTGGGTACCAATATATTTAAATTGCATTTAAGAAAAGTTTAATCTTCGCTCTGTTTCACAAATACATCTTTTTATATTATAAGAGGAGTTGCGGATAAGAGATGGATACCCCAATGCGTAACAGACGGATGGTGTACATTTTGGCCAATATGCTTCTTTATCTATTTTTTTTTTTTTTTTGCCCCTTAAAAATTTCACCTTTAATCCACAGGGAGTCATTTTTCTACGTGGGTCATTTTTCTTCACGTGGGTTCTGCAAATTTTTATGGTGGTGCCACTTTTTCTACGGGCAAAAGGGTCATTTTTCGACGTCGAATAATGACCGGGGGTCATTTTTCGCTGTCGAAAAATGACCCCCGGTCATTATTCGATGGGGGTCATTATTCGTCTTTACAGGGGCACAAGTATACAGTAGATAAGTTTTCTATAATATTACATTGTTTATTTATCGCTATCATTAGGGTGGGTGGGGGGGGGGCGGGGGGGCTTATCCCCAACCCAACAACCCCGTTCCTATGTACATGTATACTACAATCTGTTTATGTGGATTATAAAAAAAACTGAAAATATGCATTTGAGTAGGGTGGTGCATTTTTTTTTAGTAAAGTTCTTTTCTTTGTCTTCAATTTATGCTCCAATAAGTCATTATTTGTTAACCATGCATTAATCGTCAACATATAACATTAGAAGATACAATTTATACTTTTGACCACCGAAAGTTAAATATACATGATATAAAAACTATAACCGAAATTATAACTTGCTTCATCTGTAAGGAAAAATATATATTCACCATCTTGTTGTAAAACAAAAACAAAAAAAAAGATTCTAGAATACTGACAAAAAGATGCCGGTCTTTAAAAAGGGTGAATAATATGAAAACGTAGTTGTCACTTAGTTGTCATGGCATCCTTCAAAAGTATGTGCACACATATGCTTATCACAAGTGCTTGTAGACCAAACAACTTCCCCACCCCCAATATTCATACCAGGTCCTGAGATATTCATATTTTGTCTTCTGTCATAGACTATCCGTCTAGTAATTTACAATGTATTTCATATGATACATAGAATTTACTTTTTATTTTAAAAAAATCATGCCCGTATAGTATCATAAAATCACCTACATGTATATTTTTTTTAACTGCAGGTATCAATATTGAATGTTGTAAATTGTAAACGTTATTAATGAAAGAAAGCCAAAAAGTGATCTTTGGACCCGGATTAATATATATTGGGTTGGGTGACGGAGGGGGGAGGGGAGGAGGAGGGGGCATAGGTCCTATGATGGCATGATATACGCTCTCATGTATCTTATATTATGTCAAAACCTAATTCAATAAACCTTTATTTTTGCGCCAACCCACCCCCCACCCCCCCCATCCCCCCCCACCCCCAAAAAATTATTTATTTCAGCCTGCCCGTTCGTCTTATAATTCTGTCCGTCTGTTACACTTTTGTTTCAAGCAATATCTCGCGAAGCCTTTGAGCTTTTACAATGAAATTAAATCATTAGCTTTGGGTCTTTGGTGTTAAGGGGGGGGGGGGGGGGGGGGGGTTGGAGAATTATATGAAGAGTGTTAAGATATATGTTTGTAAGAAGAAGCTTAATCAACCGACAAATAACGAACTGGCATCCATATAATACCTGTATATTAAAGCCAAATAAATTTTATTTTTCGCAGCATATAGTATTTCGAACAATAATTTCTTTTAAGTTTTTGCAATTTAATTTTAGACCATAATTCCTTATTGTCCCGACCGGCCATCGTAAAGTACCACCCACCCATACTAGATCCGCACATAGTATTACTAGTATTTTTTTTATTTCATACCACAGAATGATATTTTAAAAATTTTCCTTTCATTTCCCTTCTCGAACCCCTTTGCTCGTTTAAATGTCCATTGAAATGTATTGTAGTGTCACGGTAGCGACTACGACAAGACGTGGCTTTGAGGTATCTTGTGGGGATTTTATCTGTAAAAAATCCCAATAAAATTGAAGAATTCAATAATGCAACCGTGAATACAATAGAGTACAATGACTGATCCCCATTTTTGGTTACGTTCGTTCGTAAGATGTCGGTGTTTCTCTATTAAGACGGATCGGAATTGTTCTAAAAAAGGACGTTTTCAGAATAAGAGGAGCAACGAGCAGTGATAAAATTCTGCGTAGACAACACCAACAGGGACAATACATTCTGTAAACAATCGGGAAAGCATAGTAAAAGAAGCCGTTCATTAGGACTTAAGTGGCATATAATATTTTTGGACAGAAGAAAAAGTTTACAGAATGACATACATGTGTGAAGGAAAACCATCCCTCCGAGATTGCAGTGCTGTAAAAAAAAAATGAAGAATCTGGGGGGATAAGGCGAGTCATATGCCCACACGGATTTTGTCGCTCTGTAAGCATTTCGGAAATTTCACAGATGTACGATTTACTTTAACATTTAAACTTTGTGCTGCGTTGTCCAAATGACAATATCTATTTTTTAAACCTTGCGGTTATCGTTACAGTATTTTTTACCTTGATGCTTTTCATATTGCATGTTAGTTGTTCTATCAAATATGTTTTCAGGGTTTGGGAGATAGTACGCTTTACCTTTCCTT